GATTTTCATTCATTCCTTTAATCACATGGTCTTGTCCATCATATTCATACACACCATGTGATATCATACATTCATCATCATATAAATCATGTAATATAATTCATAGCACAAAGATCTATACGTCATATGTAGTATGTTTACCACCTCATTATTTCTATACATATACCTATAGAGTTCACTACATTTCTCTTGTAATTACTTATAACAGATCATATAAGTTTATTATGTTATCTTATATTCAGTATATCATACAAACATATTTCACATAGAAACTATATCATGTGTAATAAATGCAACCCCGTATACTCATATCCAAATGCTCAATCGCATATAATAATCATACTAAGTTTATTTCTATTATCTCGTTAGCCCATGTGCACATGTGGAACTAAAGATATGCGAGTACTATGATGTTGTGCAACATATGCTGTCACCACAGCTCATATAAAATCCACTAAGTGGCATATGAAATATGTGTCCTGAATGACCTAACCATATGTTCCGAAGAACATAGGTAACTGTCCATATGTCCCGAAGGACATATGTAATCCTGTCCATATGTCTTGAAGGGCTCATATAAAATCCACTAAGTGGCATATGAAATTTGTGTCCTGAATGACCTATCCATATGTTCCGAAGAACATAGGTAACTGTCCATATGTCCCGAAGGACATATGTAATCCTGTCCATATGTCCTGAAGGACATAGGTAAACTATCCATATGTCTCGAAAGACATAGGTAACCCTCGACTCTTGGCATGCCAACTATACCTCTAGCTTTCGTGACACATAATATGGGCATTAATATTTATGTTATCACACATTAACATATACACATAATCTCATAGTTCTTTTACGTAGCTTATTGTCACATTTTCATAAGATCACACATAATCACGTAATTCATTTTCATATCATTCACATATACATATACTCATATAGTCAATATCATTTCTCCTGTAATCACATATATCACGTCTCATAATAGACATCATGTACATATAATAACTTATTCATATTATATAAATTATGGTTTGTACTTTTATACTCACATAGATCAATATCATAGAACTTGGTTCACTTTTTCATGTTATCATACCGACATACAATCTTATATAAATCCTATAGGTAAAGCTATTTATCTTTATCTCGTTTTCCTTTTGTACCAGCTTACATGGTTTATTATACTGACCTGTACAATAACATATAACTCTTATCACATATCTCACATTATTTAAATACGAGTTTATTATATCCATTTAATTTTGTTCCACATAACTCTCATAACCTTCTCATAGGGTTTTATTGTTCTTCGTTTTATACCTCCTATATCATAGTTTCCTTTTTAAGTATATCACTCTTTCCTATAGTGCTTATCCTATAAGTTTGTTTCATCGTTATCTTCATATCCCCTAATTTATATACCATTTTCATAGAGTCTCTTAATTTATTATCTTCTTATTTATATTTTGTTCTCTTAAATATTCTCATAGTCACATATCTCCATGATTTATCACTTATATGCAGTTTATATGTCATTCTTATGTATCACAATAAACCTTGGCTTAATTATCCTACATGGCTTGTTTCTTACAAGCATATCTTTACATATCTTATTATATGATCTTCCATTATCACATAATAATATTTTACATAAATAATGTATCGTATACAAAGCATATCAACATATAGCACATATAATCATATCAAACTATGCTCATGTTCATGATTTCATGCATATTACTCTAGGAAATAGACTTATCGCAAGTTCAATTTCCAATAAACATTAAATATCACTAATATGCACTCATCTGGCCTCACTAGTCAATATCGATCTCTTATATTTCCCTCCATCGATCTTACTTGCTAAATGTTTCGGAACTTGTTTAGGATTAGCATCTACATAAATATAATTTTCAAGATAATTATCATATGTCTAAACCTCATAATTCGATACTAATAGCTTAAGCTAATTAATGAACCAAAATTTACTTTTTCCTTTAGGGGGTATCGATGCACTACGGGTGTATCGGTACACAAATTAAGTTTGAAATTTCCATGCATCGATGCCTGCCAATGTGTATAGATGTACGGGTATCGATACACCCCTGAATGTATCGATGCACTATGTAACGATTCTTCAAAATTTGGTCTTAGTGCATCGGTACCTATTCATAGTGTACCGATACACCCTGCCCAGAACAAGCAGTTTTCACCCGAAAATTACCAATACTTCACTTAATTCCATCATATATAACTCCTTTCATACCCTTAAACTTACAACAACCATTTTAACTTACTTCTATCATTCTAACAACTTATAATCTCCCAAATCTCATTTAAATTATTAAAGCTAAGAATCTTACCACATTTTCCATGTTATCCAAACTTAATTCTAACTCTTATAACTTCTTATTCTCATATATGACAAGTCAAATTCAACATCCAAATTCATTTAAACCTTCTTATTCAAATTTTCTCTTGAAAAACTCTATTTACTCAATTTCTCATAACTTGTTAATCTTTGAGTTTTAAGCCACCTAAAGCTTTCCTTAATCTTTCTTAACATCCCAAGAATAAAACTAATTCAAAACTTATAAGAATTAACCAACTGAAAGAATTCTCACCTTTAGAAATGAGCTCACAGTGTAGAAGAAGAAGAAACTGAAGAAGGCTATGGAGAAATTCTCCCTTTCCCACGTGCTTATTACCATTTATAAAGGGAAATAATTTTTTTTTCTTGAAAAATGACCATAATACCCTTATTACTTTAAAACATTATTATTAAATCTAACATCAGAATTTTCCAATTAAATCCCTAAACTTTCAATCTTTTCTAAGATTGGCCACTAAGTTTTCAAAAATTCTATTTTGATCACTGACCCGACTTTTGGGATGTTACAAGATCAGTTATCAATATTGGCTCCTCCAAAGAAAATAATTTAAACTTGGTTTTATCCTAATAAAATAATTAGCCTAGGGAGTGGAAAGACCATTTAAAATCCGTAACTCCTGCATATTAATATGAAAGTGGTTTTATCCATGAATTGTCACGATAATCCATGTTAAAGCCCATTTGATTTAGTAGTGCAATTACTGGACAATTATATGGTTTAACAGGATTTATCGCCTTTGGGTAAGACAAATTTTGAGACAAATTTTGAACCTGCTTCTCACTGGCCAGTTGCATCATTAAATAAAATGGAAATTATCTGCATTGTGATCCAATGCACAGAATCTTTCTTCACTTCAACTTAAGTATTACTATAATTCTTTATAACTTTCCAATTAACATGTTTTTATTCCACCTTGTGGTTTAAAATATCCAAAAGAATAAAAAATAGCAAAAAAGGGTATAAAGAACTTTGGTTAGCAAACACGAATCCATATGTAATGTCATAAATACAAATAAATGGTATTTCTAAGGGTGTTCACGCTCTCCAAATATTAAAAAAAATAGATAACTCAATGGAATGACTGTCACTGATTAAAAAACAAAAATACCGACAGAATTTACATAGGATAATAATTTGAACGGGAATAAATTTTTCGAAAAATTACACAACAAATTCTTATAATAACATAACCCAATATTGAATTAATAAGTAGAAATTAAAAATCTTAATTCAGATGTAAATGAAATTATTAGAGTTAGAATTGGGAACTCAACTAATAAATTGATTACTGCTACACATTCTTTATTTTTTTAGAGTGTATAGAAGTTTTTTTTGTCATTTTTCAGTAACTTCGAATTATTTTCAAAGCTTTTCAATCTACTATAATTTGTAATTTTTTTAAAAAAAATCTACTCCGATTCTTTCTACTGGAATCACATGGTCAAGAAAAGCAACTTACGACAACCAGAGTTCACATATTGATGACTTAGCATATAACTTTTTATTCTACACTTTCTAAAGTACAATGCGGAAATGTGTGTTGTGTTCCTTTTTGGCCTTAGAATAAACTAAATATTTCCACAAAATTATCCAAATAATATTGAAACACGTGATTCATCAAATCTATGAATGATGCAGAGGTATTAGTCAGTCCATATGACATCACTACATACTCATAGTGACCTTGTCAGGTTCTGAAAGCTGTTTTTGAAACATTTTTCTCTTTAATCATCAAATATATGCTCATGATAGCATATGATGAATAAATAAGATAATATAAAATAAAGTAAGGAAGAACTCCCTTTAAATTAGCTTGGAAGATCTTCAATGATGTGAGCAAGCAATGGAGAAAATTGGTGCTAGGCTAGATCACATCATCCCCATTCTTTAAGGCAATTTGTCCTCAAATCAAAGCTCCTCACCATTGAATGGTTTCTTGATATGGGAATGAATGAATCCATACTTATACCTTCAATTTGAACGCTCAAATCTTCTTGTTCATCATCAAATATCATAAATAACTTTTTTTTTTTTCATTCGAACCTATTTTCTAATTTTCTTTTCTATTTTATGTTCTTTTATTTTATATATTGTCACAACTTTCACACTTACTATTATAGCACAATGTATATGTAAGAGAAATATAAGGTACGTTAGTTTAAGGTGCGTACTAGGCACAACACGATGCCGAATCATAATTGAAAATGTGATATGATGCACTTTAGTGCAATCATAACTTGAGCACCAACGGTGCTGAACATTTGTACATGAATATACCAAAGCTGAATTGATAACTGATAAGTGATAACTGAAAAATACTCACTAAATGGCATGCTAAATGTACCTATGACTCTCAATGCAATATACAATGAGCTTATATGTATCATCATAGAATCATTTATTAATCTGTGTCCGATAACTGTAAAATATCTGATATTTGTAAATAAGATAATATAAAACAATGTAAGGGAAAACTCCCTTTGAATTAGCTTGAAATAATTTAATAAAATAATTCAGAGTGACTAAAAAGAGCAATTCGAAAGTTCAGTGAGTAAATTGAAAAGATTAAAAATACAATTAGTAAAATAGGAGAGGTAATAAAATTCAGTGATGAATGGTGTAGTTTACCCTTAAAAAGGTTAGGAAAAAGAAAAGCTAAGCCCAATGAGAAAGAAAGTCAGATTTTGATAGGAAGCCCACTGAAATAGCATGAAGCTCAGGGATCACAATTGTCTTCGTTTGATCAAGTATACCTATCAGTGGCTACTGATCTACAGGGGATCACAATTGTGGGCAATGAACCCCATATTCATTCAGATATGATACTAATACTAATATCGAATCGGTTAAAGAAACTGCTTTAAAAACTCCGTAGCCACCACCCTTCCTCGCGTACTTACCAACATTTTCAATTCAGTTATCTCTTTATCGATATCCTGCAATTTTGAAAACAAAAAAAGGTTGTCGACATGAACACGATACACACTACCTACCAGAGAAACCATAATAAGTATAGAGACATGACCCTCAAAATATAAGAGATTGACCATAGCAATGTCTGACACGTAGTCCTATCCAACTCTCCCATATGTCAAAACAATTACAATTTGGTCAACTCATAGTTCATTTGATTACAGGACACCTAAAGAGTTCTAATAATTTCAGTATAACCAAAATTAAACTTGGACAACACGATATAAATTGGATCTTTGCAACCGGATCATTGGTCCATTATTTCATAAATATTTGAAAATCTCCTTAATATATTAGAATAAGAAAATAAAATTGGAATAAAACTATAGGTGTTAAACGGGCAATTTGGTTTGGGTTTGAGTCAGGTAACTTCAGTTTGGGAAGAAAATCGAGTTCCACTCAGTTCAGGCTTAGGTCATATGGGGTTCAAATTGTTTAATTTTAAAGTAAAATCAGTTTAATGCAGGTTACGGTTTTGGTTCATTCAGGTCAGAATCATCTTTGAATCAGGCTATTTTAGGTTCAAATCATTTCAATTTTGGGTTTTTTGGTCAAATCAAGTTAGGTCAACTTCAGATTCCAGCAACTGGGCAGGTTCTACAGGTTAGGGTAAGTTTTGACAACTCTAAACAAAACCACATTAAAAAAAAGCCAACAATAAATTTTATCACATTCTAACTACACAGTAATAACTATAATATAAACAATACATCGGGGAGACTGAAGTTCAAATCTTGAATAAGATCAGGGTTCTAAATCAAACAGGAGTACAGAAATGTTTACCTGGAATGAAACCTTTGAGCAACCGCTATTGTGTAAAAGAAGTTTTAGAGATGTCTTTGTGTCAGCACGCTTTTGATGTACAGGATATCTTATGTAGTTCTGCAATAATGTTTGAAATATCAGAGAGCTTCTATCTTCTTCTTTTTTTCAAAAAAAAAAAAGAAAAAAGAAGAAGAACAAACAAAGTAGGAAAGGAAACTGCCACAAGACAACAAGAGAGTTCATAAAAAGCTACTTAGGTACTGTGAAATTAACAAATAGCAAAATCTTGAGCCATTAGAAGACGAGGTCCAGCATATGATCAACATGAATATTCAAATAAATCATGGGATTTGCTTTCCTGAGAATACTAAGTTTTTATTTGCATTAAAGATTGCTAGGAATGTTTGCCGGTACAAGTATATGATAACTGTTTCGGCAATCGAGGTTGAAGAAAATATCTAGAAATGGATGGTATAGCTGGAGCATACAGAATTGACATGGTATTTAGTCTACCAAAAGTTTTGAAACGACTACCAATCTAAAGACATCCGTAATTCCGTATATGATATACTAGGAACAAGATAATTAAAAGATGCATGCCCATAATTACACAAAATAGACGCCCCAAAAACTGCATACCTTAGTTGTTTGTTGTTTACTTCTTTCATCCTGCAAAAATAGGTTTAACTGTTAAGCTTGCTCATCAATGCAAGGCATACACAATTCATCCGACTTCCTAACAAAATATATTGCAATTGATGGTGTTCCAGAGTGTGGAAAAAGGGATAAATACTTATTCACATAGAAGATGACTTACTTAGATCAGAATCAGGAACAGACAATATGGGGAAAGAGGTTGAAAATTGCAGAAACTAACAGCATCAGTTTACATTAGCATTCAGAGAACAGGACGTTATTTTATTGAAGGAATGGCCCAAATTAAAGCTATTCAAGAACTTGAAATTTCAAAAACCCTATACAAAGCTATTTAATTAAAAATAGAAATTCAAACTCACCCACAGACAGCACCAAGCAAATGAGAATATATGTATGTATAAACCGCAGAAAAAGGAAATAAAAGTGAACTGACAAAATTCCATTTGCTCTTCCATTTTTCACATGTAACAGGCGTAGAATGAAACGAAGAAACGAGGGCAGCAGCAACTGTAGTGGTTGGTTTTGAAGGTGCCAAAGTTGGAACCAATGAATTCTTGAGTAGCAACAAGTTTCGACATATGGGTAACTGCATAATCGATGAAATCAAGACAAACCCCACTCTCTTCACCAATCAATACAAAGGGAGCTTTGGGTGGTAAAAAGAAAAGAAATTGCATCTCTGAAGAAGAAAGTTGAAAGTAAGGATTTTCGGGGTTGGATCGGATCCCTTGATTGTTCTTAGGCCATTGCAGAGTCCTATATAAGTAAACTCCCAAACCTACGACTCAAATGATGCAACCCACCCACACATAACTCATAATTGACCTAACCAATGTGGACACTAGAATGGACTTGGACCAAGATGCACAAAATTGGATATTTGGCTTGGACTCAATGGATAAAACAATTGAGTTGAAAAATGATTTGATAGGGTCTCCTCCTATACAAATATTATGATCTCAACAATGTTAGATTCGTTGGCTCTAGGTCGACCCGACACCATAAAAGTTATAAGCTTTGGTTTGGAAAAGCTACTTTGATTATATATATATATATATATATATATATATATATATATATATATATATATATATATATATATATATTTGGTACACAGCTACTTTGATTATATTGACCATGTTGTTCCTTACCTAAGTATGCATGATCCATTTTTAGTGTGTTTAATTTCCATGTTCATTTTAGGGACTTGAATTGTATAATGACTAAAGAATTGAATGTAATAAAATAGTAAACTGAACCAAATCATTCTAATGATCATTGATATAACCTAGATCTAAATTTAGTTGGAACTAATGAAATTGGTTTGAGGGGTTACAAAGACATAAATAATGGTTTTAAAAGCTTCACTCTGAAAACTTAGCGAGAGATTATTGAAGTTCGTCATACTTTTCATCATTTCATATTAATGTAGTTATTTTAATTTGATAAATTGCTTTAATAAAACAGTATTGTTCATATCAATATATGAAATGCATATTTTATATATAAGATAATTAAAATTGAATATGTTTATATATTTAAAAGTTGTAAAATAATAGTAATTTGCAGAAATATATTAAATTTTATTTATTTTACATTTTTATCCAAACAATAATACTCAAATATTTCATAATTAGCATAAAATAATAAGTTTTTATTTAATAAAATTTAATCATTATCATCAAATTTTTTTAAAAAAAAGCAATCCTTACCTAAGTCAGCCAGGGATGGCAACTACGTGGCTCACAACTACACGAAGGGATGAGGCAATCAGTTTTGAAAATTTCCATATATTGAGAGGGTGGGGATGAGAGTAAAGTTAGGGTTTGGTATTCTCTTATTTTTCCATTTCAAAATGGGGAGAAAGAACCCTAATGCCAAACCCTCAAGGAGCTCCCACCAACAATCCAATGCGTCATCAGTCTCAAAATGATGAACAAGCACAAGCAAGACAGCCGATGATACATAGAGTACCAATCTCTACTATCCTTGTTAGGCTGATGAGTTTCTTTAAATATATTAATCATCTGTTGCAGTTTAAGATATCTGTTGGAGTTATGATGAATAAATGATAGAAATGTTTTATATTTCTCTTGTTATTGTTTTTGGTACTTATGGTGTTCTATCCCTCTTTAATTTACTTTCAAATTGAATATTTATACATGTTCTTAATTCAATCGGACTGAACGAATTTGTTCCCGATCAAATCTTAATCAATACCAAACTAAAAGATCTTATAAAATTTACTACCAAATCTAAATATAATACTAAATTAGAAGAATCAAAGCTGAATAATTACAAATGATTTAAAGCTAAAGATTTTAGATCCAAACTGAAAAATCAATTTGGTAAAAAAAAAGAAATCTAAGTCGAGGATTTTTAATAATTTGACTATGATTTTTAATTTGAAAGATTCATCATCGATAATGAAGGATGAATCTGGTTTATGCAACATCTAATGCACCATGTTTGAAACTTATTAGTCTGTGAAAAGAAAAAAATGTAAAAGAAAAGAATAAAGAAACGGCGGCATACAGGAAAAAAGAAAGAACGGCAAAAAATGAGAAAATATATAAAACCCTAAAAACGTATTATATATAAAGATATTATTGTAATTATCCTAGAGCGAGTTAGTGTGGGTCCACTTTAAATTTGACTCTGTCCTAATCCTAACCACCTCTTTCACACAATCCACCCGCTCCACCTCAAATTTGATTCTTAAAAGAATTCAATCCTATAGGATTGGATCGAGCCAAAGTATGTTGATTTCATTTTTTTAACTATTCTTAAATTCGACTTGACTAGCAAAACCTCTAAACAAGATATATTCGAAGATGGTCTATATATAGACTATAATCTCCACCAAAGTAAAATAAATACGAACAATGAAAAGTAACTATAACATCACCATAGTATCGAAAGAAAATAAGTCTTTCAAATACATTTGAGATACTTTGAAAAGAAGTACAAAACAAATGATATTGAAATTAAAAAATATAACATGTGAGTATGTCTAAAGTTTAATATGACTTATGATAAACCAATTATATACTAAGTGCGTGCATAAAAAAATGTTGGTCTTTGATATCATAATAGAAGAAATGAAAATGTATAATATCCTCCAAGCAAATATACTAATTGAGAAGTTTTTCGATTCATGATCTTTCTACAAATGTCTTCTAAAGCATAAGAAGTGACGTCTCTTTGAAAGAACTAATCTATTATATGAAAATTGAGAAAACTAACCATCTTAAAGATAAGAATTTTGTCAATATAGTGAATTATCTTTTAAAGCTATCCTTGTAAAACCTTTTTGTACTCCTAAACTTAACATGCAATCTAAAGAAGCAACCAAATATTTATCTTAGAAGCCCCAATATTCCAAGAAACTAAGAAAGAGTCGAAATTTTGACAACCTAGTGAATTATTATATGTAATATCTTAAATTTTTCATGTCAAAATTCGGTTGTGTAATACCCACGGACCGATGCAAGTGACTCGATCCGATCTAAAGTGTCATATTAGGGTCACCAAAGCGACTAGGGATGGTAAACATGTACAATTTCGTGGATTCTACACCGTACCCTTTCCAATTGGGGTGGGGATGTGTATAACTTTAATGGGTAGTGGACGGGTGTATTCAAAAATTGATGTTTCAAGAATCATTTAAGAATTCGAGTGTATTAAAAAGGTACTCAGGAACCTTTACATCATAATTTTTGAAGATCTATATATAACATGATCGTTTCCATTATTCAGGAAAATAGGGATAATTCAGACATTTTAATTTCTGGTGAATTCTTAGTAGCTTAATCCAATAAGGGTGAAATGATGATTCACGTCGATTTATCAGTATGTCGAGTCATCTCAAACCTAAAAAATCTGGTATTGTGATATATGTCAAATAGTCAAATCGATGTGCTTCAAGGATCTTCACACTTTAATATTGACAACTCTTGTAGAACTTGTAACATCCCAAAATAGGACTAGTGACTAAATTGTAAATTTTGAAGACTTTGTGCTCAATTTTGAAACAAGTTAAAAGTTCACGGACTTAAGTAGAGAATTTTTATGTTGGATTGATTAGAAAAGTTAAAAAATAAGAGGGTATAATGGTCATTACCTAAGGAAGATTTTTATTTTCCTTATTAAATGGTGTAAACACGTGGAGTAAGAGGGAAAGAAAGAAAACTCTGGAGGCTTGGTCATCTTCTTCCTCCCGTGGCTTCAATAGTAAGGTGAGTTGGATTCAACTTGATTGTTTCTTTAATTTTAAGGTTTCTTTTGATTCTTAGAGTGATAAGAAAGCTTAAGGGAAGTTTTAAATGGTTTAAAACTCAAAGATGAACAAGTTATGAGAGATTAAGTAAAAGGAGTTTTTATGTGAACTACTGAAATAGAAGGAGTTAATGGATTTTGAAGTTGAAATTGACTTGTCAAGGGTTTAATTAAGAAGTTAGAAGTGATAGAAGTGAATTAAGAACATGTTGAAAATTTGGTAAGATTTTTAGTTTCAAGAATTATGATGAATTATTGAAGATAATAATGTGTTATATGGATATAAGAAGATTTGAATAAGTATAGTTAAGTTTCAAGGGTTAAAAAGAGGTTATGAAAGAAAAATTAAGTGAGTTTGGTAAGATTTTTGGGTTAAAGAAGTGTATTCTGGGCTAGGTGTATCGGTATTGTTCATTCAGTACCGATATTTCAAAGAGAAAATAAGTGATTATTAAGGTATAGGTATCGATACTAGTTGAATGAGTATCGATACCATAAGGCATAAATTTATAAATTATTCCTGGGGTATCGATACTTGGGAAGGTAGTATCGATACCAAGAGTATCGATACTATAAGGTATCGGTACCCATTTTTGAAATAAGGATTTTGAATGCAAAATGGGTATTGATACCCAGGCTTGGTATCGATACCAAATCTAGGGAAGTATCAGTACCATACCTTGGGTACCGATACTACTTCAAATGGAAAATAGAATTAAACATTTCTTTTAACTTAAGATATTAGAGATCGAATTATAATACTTGGAATGTATGATTATGTAGATATTGAGCACAAGCAAGTTCCAGAACGACCGAAAAGCTAGAATCGATCAAGAAAGAGAAATCGTCATAGAAGTAATTGGGATCAAGTGAGGCTAAGGTGAGTGCATATTAATGGCATATGATGTTTAATGAAAATAGGACATTTTGATGAGTCTATTTCCTATAGACTATGCATGAAGTCATGGACATGAGCATGTATTTGATATGAGTACATGTGTTATATGTGTTACATGATTTATGTGAATATATGTTAATGTGATGCATTTATGTGATATGATATATATGACAATAGGGATATAAGGAATTGTATGAACATGTGATATGTGACCATATATGCTAAATAATATATGAGATCATAAAAAAATGTTATATGAGCTATGTGACCATATGAGAAGTGACATGAGATTATATGCATATGTGATATAAACATGTGAATGTATGATAACATAAATAATAATACCCATGTTATGTGTTATGAGAGCTAAGGGTATAGTTGGCATGCCAAGAGTCGAGGGTTCTACGTGGTCCATCGGGACATATATGTAATCCTTTGGAACATATATACGGTATTTCGGTACACTTATTTGGTCCATTGGAATATGTATATGGTTCTTAAAGAGTGGTCCTTCGGGACATATGTGTTATAAGTAGTCCT